GAACAGAGAAATCAGATTTCTTAAAGAGGCCTGCATTTTTTAAACTTGGCAGAGTCTTTGAGGAGAGTGACAGGAAATGCACTGGACTACCTGACTGATGCTCCAGGGGACAGAACTGTGTTGGCTAAATAGCAGAGCTGGCTAGATTTAAGATTGTGGGGTCAGCTTTTATGAAGGCTGATGTGGAAGATACAGTGGAATTCTCTGCTGCTACTGTTGCCTGACTCTGGAGGGCAGAGGTTGTTTAGGGATCTGTTCCTTCGGCCTTTTGGGACCTTTGATATAGAAGAGTGGGTTGATGTGCCTGGTGGCCTTGGTGCTTTGCTGATCACCACTGACCCTCTTCACCCAACCAGCAGGATTTCTCTTCTAAGGCAGCCTCGTGCTTGAAGCAATACAAGGGGGCAAAGAAGCAGTAGACCAGCTCATCTCACCATGGTGCTCCCACCGCCTGACAAGCGCCATGTGTGTCTGACCACCATTGTCATCATGACCAGCATGGCCTTCATGGACGCCTACCTGGTGGAGCAGAATCAAGGCCCTCGGAAGATTGGTGTCTGCATCATTGTTCTGGTGGGAGACATCTGCTTCCTTATCGTGCTACGTTATGTGGCGGTATGGGTGGGCGCTGAGGTGAAGACAGCTAAGCGGGGCTATGCCATGATCCTATGGTTTCTCTACATCTTTGTGCTGGAGATTAAGCTGTACTTCATATTTCAGAATTACAAAGCAGACAAGAAAAACTTGGAGACGGTAGCCAGAAAGGCCCTCACTTTACTTCTGTCCATATGTGTGCCAGGGCTCTACCTGGTGCTGGTGGCCTTGGACAGCATGGAGTACATACGAACCTTCAGGAAAAAGGAGGATCTACGGGGACGACTGTTCTGGGTGGCCCTCGACCTGCTGGATATATTAGACATTCAGGCCAACCTGTGGGAACCACACAAGACTGGGCTGCCAATCTGGGCAGAAGGGCTTATGTTCTTCTATTGCTACATTCTGCTCCTGATCCTGCCTTGTGTCTCTCTCAGTGAGATTAGCATGCAAGGGGAGCACATAGCTCCACAGAAAATGATGCTCTACCCTGTCCTTAGCCTGGTCACCATCAATATTGTCACTATATTCATCCGGGCCATTAACATGGTCTTGTTCCAAGACAGCAGGGTCTCCACCATCTTTATTGGCAAGAACATCATTGCCATAGCCACTAAGGCATGCACTTTCTTAGAATATAAGAAACAGGTGAAAGAGTTCCCACAAAATGCCATTGCTCTGGAGCTCCAGCAGAACTCTATCTCTCACAATCAGACTATCCACAGTACACAGGGCATTCCTCATGAGCCGTCACCCACCAGGGAGATTCTGGATACATGACAAGTCACCCCTGGACATCAGCATTTGCTCAGATTGCCCTGGGGGTGGAGGGAGGTGGGATGTTGCTCTCTCGCTGCATGGGGTGGGTGTGAAGGACAAGTCCCAGCAGGGAGAGCTCTTCCAGGCACAAAACACCTACCATGTTTTAATAAACAGTGGAGTGTCCCCTAGACCTCTTCATCTCAGGTATAACCCTAGGAGTCCTCCAGACAAACCAAATGAACTTGCAAAGGACCTGAACCAGCTATGTCCCCAGTTTTCCTTCTACTCACTTCTCCCTGCCCAGACAAGTTCCCTGATGCTGAGATTTCTCTCTCTCTCTCTCTCTCTTCCTTAAGAACTTCACTTTTGCTCCAAGTCTGGAATGAAGATTTTTCTTACCAGAGTCCTTTTTATGGAGTGGGGATAGGGGAGGGGTATTTGAACCAGTAAATCCTGTGATCGTAGGTGTCTTTTATTCAAATTGTTGTGTTTACAGTTTCCTATTTATAACATCTCTTGGGAGTTCCAGTCTGGGTTTTTGGGGGGTTTTGGTAGGGGGCATGGTTTATTTAAGTTAGTAATCTCCTGGAAACAGCTCCTGTGACTCCTCTTTCTAGTAGCAACTATACAAAGAGCAGCATCCAACACTATAAATAATCTCGACTTGTGCTATTCTGCTAAGGCTGCCGGTTGGGAAGGAAGCAGGGGGGTATCCATCTCTGCCAGTGCACTAAACCAACTCTGCTAGGAGCAATATTTGACAAGCTAATGTTAATCTAATGCTGGTGTTTTATGTATCTCGTTCACTTCAAACAACTCAGCACAATATTTCTATTTTTAGAAGGGTCTTTCTCTCTCTCCCCCTCTTTCTTTCTCTTTCTGGTGGTACAAACATTTCTGACTAGAACGTATGATGCAGGGCAGTGCAGCTGCTCTGATGAAACCAGCCAGCATCAACACAAGGGGAAGCCAATGCCGTGAAGAGCTAATAATAATGATGATAACAATGATAACGATGATGCATTTTGCTCCAGCATCAGTGTTTATAAAGAGGGCTGCTTTCCACAGCTACTATATTTTTTAAAATAAAATATTTCCAAAAAATTGCAGAAAGCTCTACTTGTGCCATGTGGTGGCAGGAGGGCTGGGACTCAGCACCATATACAAATCTCCTTCCCTTTGGGTATGTACATGGTGTGGGGGGCTCACATGGGTCCCTGGGGTGGGAGCAGCTGAACCATAATAAAATCCCAATGAGAACAAATGGGCTCCACAGGTTTGTCTCTCTTTCATGGAGCAGGTAGAGTAAATAATTTGTCTCATGTCCCATCTCACTTAGTTTCTTCTAAAGACAAAGCAGCCTCTGTCATTACCACCTTCTCCAAACCACATGTAGGTGGTAGGGACTACTACCATAAAAAGATGCCATGCCCAGTCATACTAATTCCACATACACCAACTTCTAAAACAATGACATGTTGATGCTTTTTAGTGTGTGACCAGTACTGCTTTTGGGCTCTTGGTCTGGGTAGACTCATGAGAGATGCTACATGATACTTTTTAAGAATGCTTGCAGGCAGAGTAGGAGTGACTGGGCAGAGTATATATTCACAGCAGCGCTCCAAAACACTATCTATTGTGGTATAGACAGGTCCCCTGTCCCCTTCTCCCTACAGAGCATGCTTCTGGCCTACATGGTCCCCATAGCCTGCTCATGGTGCTGCTTAGAGCTATTAAAAACATTTTTGGCAGAAGAGTCTTCTGTCAGAAATCACCTTTTTGTCAGCGCTGAAATGTTTTGTGGGGGTGCTTCAGTTGCAAGGAAATTTTCAGTTGAAAAAAAATCAAATTCAAAAGGGATAATTCTGTGCCGGCCTCTTTATAATATAATGCTTCAGATGTATCTAATAATCTGGTTCTAAAAGGATTTGTGGGGGCGGGCTGGGGAAAAGTGGGGGATATTATGTTTACAAAGGAAAACATTCCTGAATTCTCACAGATGTTTCCAGCTTTCATTCCAAGTCCAGAGGGAAACCCTGTTTGAAATGTTGGGATTTCACAAAGGATGGAGATTCTGTATTTCAACCACCTATACCCCACTGCCCTTCTCCTCTTGCCACACTATGGCTGTGCTGCTGCTCCTCCCTGCCTCCTCTTCAACAGGGTGTCATGCTGCTTTCCTCCCCCAAAACACAGGCTGTTAATTCTGCTCCCATTTCTGGCCCTGGAAGTCCTACTGACCCAACTTTGTGGGTTAGTCTCCGAGTCTGCTTTCTCAGGAGAACAAACTCCATACTTAATATGGAAGGACTAAAGGGAACGTGTGACAACTTCTGATTAACTTTCTAACATGCTCACAGAACCCACTTGGCAGGTAAGGAATCACAATGGAGGTTTTGCCTTCCACCGATGCATGTTCCCACAGATGCACAGGGGGAGCAAAGTATGAAGATGTCCATTGCACATGTCTTGCTCAGACCTGTGGGCCAGCCAAAGGTGAGGGCGACTGTGCTACTATAATCCACACCTCCCGGTGGGTTATGTGCCAGTTTAGGCACTTTGGCATTTTGGCTGGAACTACTTGTTGAATTCCACCTGAATTTTCAAGTAGTTTTCATCCTTCCAAACTCCATTTTTCAGCATATTTATTATTTATCAGAATAAGTTCGCCCAGTTCTGACCTACTCTCCATGGGACATATTTCCATTTTGTCGGAACAGCGTTTTGTTTCGAATTTCATTTCAATTCAAAACTGCTGTTCCATTTCGTTTTGTCAAAACAATTTAGCTGTTTCAGTGCTGTTTCGACGTTTCGCCCATAGGCTATAACGGGGAAGCTCGAAACAACCTTATAGCTTTGTCATTTCTGGCCTGATTTGGATGAACCTTGCAGGAATGGTACCCCTTCTGAGGGCATGAACCCTGCCAAGTTTCAAGGAGATAGATGCAGAGGTTTCAGGGAAACTGCACCTCAAAGTCTTGAAAGCAAAAAATTTGTGTCACATGTATGTGTTAAGCCACAGTGGGGTCAAAACTCCAGGCCTGCTAGCCCCTGCTGAGGCCATGAAACCTGCCATCTTTCAAGGAGATCGGTGCAGGGGCTTCTGGGTTCTGAGGCCCTGCACCTCCGGCTGCTGACAGCCAAAACTCGTGACATGGGTGCTTGTGGGACTGTGTGTGACTTGGGGCACGGGGGGGGTGAAAACTGCAGGCCTGCTAGGCCCTGCTGCGGCCACGAAGCCTGCCCGCTGGCAAGGAGATAGGTGCAGGGGGAGTCTGGGTTTTGGGGCCCTGCACCTCTAGGTGCTGACAGGCAACACTCATGACACGGGTGGGTGAAACTGTGTGTGTGTGTGTTAAGGTGCACCCTCACTCAACTGACACCAAGGCAGACAGCAGGGCAGTTCAAACAATGCTGCCTTTTATGCAGTTTTTCCATCCCTCCCCCAGAGCACTGGGATTGGAAGAGACCTCAGGAAAGGATGACAGTCACTGGCCACCTACACAGTCAATAATGGGAGCAGTCCTTCCCTCCCTTCCCTCTCCCTCTCCTTACTTTAGTTTCTGTTTCCCTGCAGGCAAGCTAGCTTGAGCTTCGAAATGCAAAACGTTTAGAAAATTTTGAAATGTTTTGACTTGCTTCGTTTTGTTTCGTGGCTGTTTCGAAGCTCTCTGTTTCATTTCGATTTTGCTGTTTCAAGCTTGAAACGAGTTGAAACAGCATCAAAACAAAACTGCCGGCAAAATTTTGTACAGCCCTAATATTTACCTATTATAAAAGAAAGCAGCTATGACCACATTTTGTAATTCCATGGACATCATTTTCCCCCAAAGATGACTTTGAGGGGGTGGGAGGGAGGGTCTCCAATGGAAATAAAAAACTGAGAGGGAAGAAAAGTACATGGAAAAAATAAAGTGACATCTTGGCTGACAGAAATGACCTTGGAACAGTGCAGGATTTGGACAGCAAGGAGCCAAGACATTTTGTTCTCTTCCCTGGGAGAAAAAGAGGGAACAGAGTAAGTGATTTAAAATGTATTAGCAGAAATTAATTAAACTGCTAAATTACTCTGGAATACCTATGGAATTACATATTACATCCCTACCGATGCCATTAGAATACATCATGATTAACAGCAGTACAATTAACTCCCAAGTATCTAATAACATTCTGCCATTCTTTTCAGTGTGTAATTAATTTATGTCCCATTATTTTAAAGCTTTTTCCCAGAACAGAATAATGAGAAACCTACAAATGCTTCCAAATCCTACAGTCCCTTTGGCAGCACTACTGAATATAGATGTTGCATGAGCTATAATCATGTTTCAGATGATGGCCACCGCCATTTTGAATGTGGGTCAGTAACTTTTATAGGCCAGGGTATTACTCCTGCATGCATAAGTTCAAAACAGAGGGACTTCCAGCACATTAGGCAATTCTGGAGCACTTGTACAGACACGCCTTCAGAGCTGCTGTGAGACATTAAGCACAGCACTTGGAGCTGGTGTACTGCCCTCCCTTCCTCCTCCTGTCCAGCCAAGATGAAAGGACCTTGTGGGAACAGGTGCAGAGAACAGCTTCCTCAGCCCTGCCTCTGGACAATGGCAGAGCCACATCTCCCTGCTCTGGAGAGCCAGGGTGAATGCTACTGTAAAATCATCATCACAGTCTTCTGTGCTTCTCTAGCACTTTCCACCCCAGGAGGAAAAAGTGTTTCCCCAGTAAGGCTGGCTTCCGATCCCCTTGTCAGGCAAGAAAATCCCCATTTTACCAGTGGAAAGATGGAGGGGCAGAGAAGTCAACTGGCTTGTCCAAGGTCCCCACACAGTGATTTGTTAACAGAGGTAAAATGCCAGCCCTCTGCCTGAATCACTTGATAGGTGTCTTTCCGTTGTTCTTTCCTCCTGAGCTGTCCTATCCAGCAGCAGGCCTCCAACCCCAGACTTCACCTCTCCACACAGGAATACACCCTGTTTCCACTGCTGGTATGTTTGCGTGTGTGGAAACAACAGCAGCGCCTTACACTTTTGCCCCACTGAGGATGGCAGAGATGTGGCAAGACACTATTCCAAACCAAATTCCCTTATGCCAGGACTAGAACCATGGACACTAGCAGAGACAGTACATCTCTTGACGTAAGATCTGAGAAGAGTGGCATCAAGTTAAGACCAGCTACTCCTGAATAAGACAAGCTCTTTTATGGCCTATGTGGTAGTGCTGTGGCCTAGAAACCCCAAAAGACAGTAGTTTGAGCCTCAAATGAGGTAAACTGCAGAGTGAATCTGTCTAGAAAATGGTGAGACAAAGGACTCTGCTGACTGGGCTGGGCCACTCCATGGCATGGCTTTATGACGAGAAATCGTGGTTGCTTACCAGACTCCCTCTAGGATGAGCCAGGATTGCTAACTACAGAAAAGTGCCTGTTATTTTGGTTTTTTTAAATGGTGCCAGCCCTGTAGGCCCAGTTATAGCTAGGTAGTATCATTTGTATTGCTCTGTCATTTAGAAACCCTAGCCATGGCCCTAGTTGTGCAGGGGATTGGATATACAGAATGAAAAGTCAGCTCCTACCTCAAAGAGCTGAAGTTTAATGAATGTTTCTTCTTCAGTACCTGAGCTCCTTAGCGCCTTTATAAAAAAAATTAAAAAGCTGTCTCTAGTAAAAATACCAAAGGCAAGGAAATGTGGGAAGCTGGGGAGCAAGGAGGACTGAATACAGTAAAGGAACTGAGGGAAGACCAAGAAAATCTGAGTACACATATAAGAGGAGATCCTGGTTACAGGCACCCAAATCATTAAGGGCAGCGGACAGCACAACTACTCAGCTGCCAACAATGATATGTGAAACGGCATCGTGGCCTAAGTCTCAATGTGTCCACCTCCTGGACATGCTTCCCACACATTAAGAAGAGCCTCCCTCTGCCAAGCCCTTGAGCAACACACCATGTAATTTTTAAATAGGAGATCAATGTGTTTTTATTGAGCTGCTTGCAATTCCCTACAGTTCAGTCAGCTAAGGTTCAGAAAACAACCAAAGAGCAAACCACACAGACCCTGGGAGCACTGCAGCCCACATCACTGGGCTGGAGTCATTCCCACTAACAAGACTCACC